CAAATATTACGACGTTGCATTTTTTATATATATTTATATATATATATATTAGAGATAAATAGATACGTCATGCATGTACGTTTGTATTTATTTCATTAACAAGTATATCAACTTAACAGTTTTTGCAAAAATCGTATCTTTTGCCTGGTTCTTGTTCCTTATTTTGGTGGTTATAAAATTTGACAAAAATATATAATACGTTTTTGCCTCACCATTCGTTCTTAAAATCTCTGAGCGATATAGCCTTAAATATACATTATAAACATTTAGGTGCGTGTCCCTTTTTGAGTTATCTATACAAATTACTGTTTGTTTATTAGCTCACACGTGAGGAGAGAAATCCGTTAGCGCAAAAATATCCAACACAAATCAATATACTCTATACCTATATTTTATATACAGCTACAGAACAAGATCATACTGACTCCCCCAAAAAACCTTTATTTATTGTGTATGTTTATTAATTTTCACTTTTCTATTCTACCTATTTTTTTTTTTTTTTCACTTTCACTGTCAACTTTTATATGGCGATAACGTCAACTATTATATTCTTTTATAGTGTAGTATAACTTCCGGTTTACCGCATAATTAGCAAGATTTGTACGACACTGTCTGTCTACCTTCATACTATGTTTACTTGTCCTGAAGACACCCGTTACGCTCGGTGGCGAAACATGTCAACCAATACAATTACTTTCCGTTTATGTATGAGTGAGTGCTGATGACGTTTATGTCGTTTACTTCTTTTAAATAGTAACACAAATTTAATATTCCAATATCTTACTTATAAGAGAAGTAAAATGCGAATTATTCAATATAGATTATAAGGTTAAATTCTTACATGTACATGTTACACTAATCTGCAAAGATATCCGTCTTATAATAACTTAACATTTCACACGGAGACACTTTCACTTAAATTGTTTGATACATTTACATAGTCTGTAGTTCGAAATACTTAACTCTCAACAAAGCGGAAAATGTTAAAAGCTTTAAACTGATTTGATTTATGATTAAATTCAAATGACCTGAATACGTGGAATTAGGAACAGCTTCACTTGCCATACCGTAAACTCTATATACAGTGATGATAGTTTTCTTGATAGACATGATAGATGAGTTACTATTTTGTCAATGCTAGTTTATAAGGTTATACCAGCAAATACTGTCAAAAAGGAGAAATCAAAGTTAGCTTTATAATATTAATCATAATTCGTTTTATGTGTATTAAACACAAATTCTATAAAAAAATAATGCATATGTTTCAATATGTAAACAGTTCATGGTTGTTTGTAAGCACCCATCTATACACATTTATTCAGTCTAAAACTATTAGTATGTATAAGGGTTTGTTATATATGTAATAAGGAATTAGGAAATAACAGTAAAAAATCCCAATTCACCAATCACAATGGAAACGTTATTTCCGCAGCCATTTAAATTTATTGGGATAGTCTCTGGGTGTTTTACTAGTAATAGTCAAGTAGTTAGCAAATCTGTAATAACATAAAATGTTTTGATACATTTATTTTCTGTAAATCGACTGTGTCCAATTCCACTTCTTTATTATTTCATGCGACATTTCCATATTGAAGATTTTTTGTCAACCAATCACTCTTTGATAAACGACTAATCTTGTTTTAATTGAGGACAATTGATCAAAAGGGAAAAATAATTCAGAAAAAAGCTTGATTGTGTTTTTTTTTTTTTTTTTTTATTCTGAAGTTTTTATTTCATATACACTAATGTCTCCAGGTCGTTATACTGTTCTATTTCTTAGTTACACATGATCTTTTATTCTAGCACACATATTTAAATTCTTCATTCACTACTACTATCTACATAAAAAAAACCTAAAAAACCCAATTAGTAATTATCTACGACAATTTGATATCCGGATCTTATGAAAATGACCGTCGTATAACACATTAGGCTCTGTTTTTAAGTTAGATTTGTTCCGTCAACAGACACACCCAAAAAATCCTGCAAAACATGACACTACGATATCCGGATCTTATAAAAATGACCGGCGTTTACCACCTTAAGCTTTGTTTTAGAGTTAGGTTCGTTCCGTCAATAGACACACCAAAAAATCCTTCAATGATGAGCTATGAAAAAATTAAGAGTTGTACTTTGTATTAGGATTGTTCTGTATGTTTAATTTATTATATATTGTATTTAGCACCTTTGAAAAACTTTACAGACACAAAAGCAATGTACTCAAGTAAAGATGATATTAACAAGTCTTTCAAAATGTTTGCAAATCAATAGATAACAATAGTTTACCCTGTTTAATAGTTCCATTAAAATGATTTTTTTACTGTTACAATTTCATATAATTTACTAAGACATAATTATAACGACCAGCTTAAATCACTGAGAGTAACGGTTAATACAAATAAACACACAGACGAAACGCAATTTTCAATGGCGAGAGTTAATCTTTTGCAAAAGTTCTATAACAGGAAAGGTTTACTTCATCGCTGTGATATAAATAGTTGTGATCTCATTGAAATTTTCATAAATTTCTGCGCGACAGGATAACGACAAAATGTTTCAAAATAAACATGTGTCAGTATTGCAATTAATCAAAATCTAGACACAAGACAAATCTGAGTCTGGTTGTTTTAACATAGAGCTCTTTATCATGCAATGGATTTGTGTGTTTTCTGTTTGTCACGTTTAATGTCTGATATAATCTTAATCACAACCCCTTCTTTACGATTAAATATATCCTGTTGTGTTGGCGAAATCTGTCATTTAATTGAGAATACATTGTGGAAAAACATTTTTAAAATCACAACATTTCAAAAAGTCCAAATAATAGTATTAAGTTTTATTTTAAAAAAACCAGTTACGCTAATCTAAAAATATATCGGTTTCATAGTACAATACCACCTTTACAAAACTTTTTTGACAAGTTTTGAAATATAAACGAACAATTGTATTACTTAAAAGTTAACGCCCGAGCGATTATTTGTACAGCTTTAACTAAGTTGATCTTAAAGTATCCATATGACATTAGTAATCGGAAGTTAGAGCAACTGCATTTTCAAAAAGTCACTAAAAACTTTCTGAAAAAGTAAAAATATAAACATGATGAATAGATTACAAATGTATATAAAGGACAGGTAAACCTTGTTATCAATGATTATTTAAACAGGTTGCATCCGCAAGTATTCTCGATTAAACTAGTTGGATAATACTATCAATCATTCGCTTTATGGTGAGTTACACACGCATTTTGTTTAATACATTATATATTTTTCAATATGGAACAAAGTTTGTTTCCAAGCACCAAATAACACGCTGTAATTCAGTCTAAAACTATTAGTATGTATTTGTTTTTCATATAATATTGGAAATATATAGGCATATCTAATTTACAAATAATTATGGAAATGTAGTTTGTCAGTAATTGTAATTGACATGCATAGTTCCTGCGGGCATCACATGGTCCGTAGTCAGCAATTATGTTTTGATATGAAAGAGAAAGTCGAAAGATACCAACGGGACATTCAAATTCATAAGTCGAAAATAAACTGCCAAAGCCATGTCAACCAATACAATTACTTTCCGTTTATGTATGAGTGAGTGCTGATGACGTTAATGTCGTTTACTTCTTTTAAATAGTAACACAAATTTAATATTCCCATATCTTACTTATAAGAGAAGTAAAATGCGAATTATTCAATATAGATTATAAGGTTAAATTCTTACATGTACACATTACATGTTACACTAATCTGCAAAGATATCGGTCTTATAATGACTTAACATTTCACACGGAGACACTTTCACTTAAATTGTTTGATACATTTACATAGTCTGTAGTTCGAAATACTTAACTCTCAACAAAGCGGAAAATGTTAAAAGCTTTAAACTGATTTGATTTATGATTAAATTCAAATGACCTGAATACGTGGAATTAGGAACAGCTTCACTTGCCATAACGTAAACTCTATAAACAGTATGTACAGTGATGATAGTTTTCTTGATAGACATGATAGATGAGTTACTATTTTGTCAATGCTAGTTTATAAGGTTATACCAGCAAATACTGTCAAAAAGGAGAAATCAAAGTTAGCTTTATAATATTAATCATAATTCGTTTTATGTGTATTAAACACAAATTCTATAAAAAAATAATGCATATGTTTCAATATGTAAACAGTTCATGGTTGTTTGTAAGCACCCATCTATACACATTTATTCAGTCTAAAACTATTAGTATGTATAAGGGTTTGTTATATATGTAATAAGGAATTAGGAAATAACAGTAAAAAAACCCAATTCACCAATCACAATGGAAACGTTATTTCCGCAGCCATTTAAATTTATTGGGATAGTCTCTGGGTGTTTTACTAGTAATAGTCAAGTAGTTAGCAAATCTGTAATAACATAAAATGTTTTGATACATCTATTTTCTGTAAATCGACTGTGTCCAATTCCACTTCTTTATTATTTCATGCGACATTTCCATATTGAAGATTTTTTGTCAACCAATCACTCTTTGATAAACGACTAATCTTGTTTTAATTGAGGACAATTGATCAAAAGGGAAAAATAATTCAGAAAATAGCTTGATTGTTTTTTTGTTGTTTTTTTTTTGTTTATTCTGAAGTTTTTATTTCATATACACTAATGTCTCCAGGTCGTTATACTGTTCTATTTCTCAGTTACACATGATCTTTTATTCTAGCACACATATTTAAATTCTTCATTCACTACTACTATCTACATAAAAAAAACCTAAAAAACCCAATTAGTAATTATCTACGACAATTTGATATCCGGATCTTATGAAAATGACCGTCGTATAACACATTAGGCTCTGTTTTTAAGTAAGATTTGTTCCGTCAACAGACACACCCAAAAAATCCTGCAAAACATGACACTACGATATCCGGATCTTATAAAAATGACCGGCGTTTACCACCTTAAGCTTTGTTTTAGAGTTAGGTTCGTTCCGTCAATAAACACACCAAAAAATCCTTCAATGATGAGCTATGAAAAAATTAAGAGTTGTACTTTGTATTAGGATTGTTCTGTATGTTTAATTTATTATATATTGTATTTAGCACCTTTGAAAAACTTAACAGACACAAAAGCAATGTACTCAAGTAAAGATGATATCAACAAGTCTTTCAAAATGTTTGCAAATCAATAGATAACAATAGTTTACCCTGTTTAATAGTTCCATTAAAATGATTTTTTTACTGTTACAATTTCATATAATTTACTAAGACATAATTATAACGACCAGCTTAAATCACTGAGAGTAACGGTTAATACAAATAAACACACAGACGAAACGCAATTTTCAATGGCGAGAGTTAATCTTTTGCAAAAGTTCTATAACAGGAAAGGTTTACTTCATCGCTGTGATATAAATAGTTGTGATCTCATTGAAATTTTCATAAATTTCTGCGCGACAGGATAACGACAAAATGTTTCAAAATAAACATGTGTCAGTATTGCAATTAATCAAAATCTAGACACAAGACAAATCTGAGTCTGGTTGTTTTAACATAGAGCTCTTTATCATGCAATGGATTTGTGTGTTTTCTGTTTGTCACGTTTAATGTCTGATATAATCTTAATCACAACCCCTTCTTTACGATTAAATATATCCTGTTGTGTTGGCGAAATCTGTCATTTAATTGAGAATACATTGTGGAAAAACATTTTTAAAATCACAACATTTCAAAAAGTCCAAATAATAGTATTAAGTTTTATTTAAAAAAAAAACAGTTACGCTAATCTAAAAATATATCGGTTTCATAGTACAATACCACCTTTACAAAACTTTTTTGACAAGTTTTGAAATATAAACGAACAATTGTATTACTTAAAAGTTAACGCCCGAGCGATTATTTGTACAGCTTTAACTAAGTTGATCTTAAAGTATCCATATGACATTAGTAATCGGAAGTTAGAGCAACTGCATTTTCCAAAAGTCACGAAAACTTTCTGAAAAAGTAAAAATATAAACATGATGAATAGATTACAAATGTATATAAAGGACAGGTAAACCTTGTTATCAATGATTATTTAAACAGGTTGCATCCGCAAGTATTCTCGATTAAACTAGTTGGATAATACTATCAATCATTCGCTTTATGGTGAGTTACACACGCATTTTGTTTAATACATTATATATTTTTCAATATGGAACAAAGTTTGTTTCCAAGCACCAAATAACACGCTGTAATTCAGTCTAAAACTATTAGTATATATTTGTTTTTCATATAATATTGGAAATATATAGGCATATCTAATTTACAAATAATTATGGAAATGTAGTTTGTCAGTAATTGTAATTGACATGCATAGTTCCTGCGGGCATCACATGGTCCGTAGTCAGCAATTATGTTTTGATATGAAAGAGAAAGTCGAAAGATACCAACGGGATATTCAAATTCATAAGTCGAAAATAAACTGCCAAAGCCATGTCAACCAATACAATTACTTTCCGTTTATGTATGAGTGAGTGCTGATGACGTTAATGTCGTTTACTTCTTTTAAATAGTAACACAAATTTAATATTCCAGTATCTTACTTATAAGAGAAGTAAAATGCGAATTATTCAATATAGATTATAAGGTTAAATTCTTACATGTACACATTACATGTTACACTAATCTGCAAAGATATCGGTCTTATAATAACTTAACATTTCACACGGAGACACTTTCACTTAAATTGTTTGATACATTTACATAGTCTGTAGTTCGAAATACTTAACTCTCAACAAAGCGGAAAATGTTAAAAGCTTTAAACTGATTTGATTTATGATTAAATTCAAATGACCTGAATACGTGGAATTAGGAACAGCTTCACTTGCCATAACGTAAACTCTATAAACAGTATGTACAGTGATGATAGTTTTCTTGATAGACATGATAGATGAGTTACTATTTTGTCAATGCTAGTTTATAAGGTTATACCAGCAAATACTGTCAAAAAGGAGAAATCAAAGTTAGCTTTATAATATTAATCATAATTCGTTTTATGTGTATTAAACACAAATTCTATAAAAAAAATAATGCATATGTTTCAATATGTAAACAGTTCATGGTTGTTTGTAAGCACCCATCTATACACATTTATTCAGTCTAAAACTATTAGTATGTATAAGGGTTTGTTATATATGTAATAAGGAATTAGGAAATAACAGTAAAAAAACCCAATTCACCAATCACAATGGAAACGTTATTTCCGCAGCCATTTAAATTTATTGGGATAGTCTCTGGGTGTTTTACTAGTAATAGTCAAGTAGTTAGCAAATCTGTAATAACATAAAATGTTTTGATACATTTATTTTCTGTAAATCGACTGTGTCCAATTCCACTTCTTTATTATTTTATGCGACATTTCCATATTGAAGATTTTTTGTCAACCAATCACTCTTTGATAAACGAATAATCTTGTTTTAATTGAGGACAATTGATCAAAAGGGAAAAATAATTCAGAAAAAAGCTTGATTGGGTTTTTTTTTTTTTTTTTTTTTTTTTATTCTGAAGTTTTTATTTCATATACACTAATGTCTCCAGGTCGTTATACTGTTCTATTTCTTAGTTACACATGATCTTTTATTCTAGCACACATATTTAAATTCTTCATTCACTACTACTGTCTACATAAAAAAACCTAAAAAAAACAATTAGTAATTATCTACGACAATTTGATATCCGGATCTCATGAAAATGACCGTCGTATAACACATTAGGCTCTGTTTTTAAGTTAGATTTGTTCCGTCAACAGACACACCCAAAAAATCCTGCAAAACATGACACTACGATATCCGGATCTTATAAAAATGACCGGCGTTTACCACCTTAAGCTTTGTTTTAGAGTTAGGTTCGTTCCGTCAATAGACACACCAAAAAATCCTTCAATGATGAGCTATGAAAAAATTAAGAGTTGTACTTTGTATTAGGATTGTTCTGTATGTTTAATTTATTATATATTGTATTTAGCACCTTTGAAAAACTTAACAGACACAAAAGCAATGTACTCAAGTAAAGATGATATCAACAAGTCTTTCAAAATGTTTGCAAATCAATAGATAACAATAGTTTACCCTGTTTAATAGTTCCATTAAAATGATTTTTTTACTGTTACAATTTCATATAATTTACTAAGACATAATTATAACGACCAGCTTAAATCACTGAGAGTAACGGTTAATACAAATAAACACACAGACGAAACGCAATTTTCAATGGCGAGAGTTAATCTTTTGCAAAAGTTCTATAACAGGAAAGGTTTACTTCATCGCTGTGATATAAATAGTTGTGATCTCATTGAAATTTTCATAAATTTCTGCGCGACAGGATAACGACAAAATGTTTCAAAATAAACATGTGTCAGTATTGCAATTAATCAAAATCTAGACACAAGACAAATCTGAGTCTGGTTGTTTTAACATAGAGCTCTTTATCATGCAATGGATTTGTGTGTTTTCTGTTTGTCACGTTTAAAGTCTGATATAATCTTAATCACAACCCCTTCTTTACGATTAAATATATCCTGTTGTGTTGGCGAAATCTGTCATTTAATTGAGAATACATTGTGGAAAAACATTTTTAAAATCACAACATTTCAAAAAGTCCAAATAATAGTATTAAGTTTTATTTAAAAAAAACCAGTTACGCTAATCTAAAAATATATCGGTTTCATAGTACAATACCACCTTTACAAAACTTTTTTGACAAGTTTTGAAATATAAACGAACAATTGTATTACTTAAAAGTTAACGCCCGAGCGATTATTTGTACAGCTTTAACTAAGTTGATCTTAAAGTATCCATATGACATTAGTAATCGGAAGTTAGAGCAACTGCATTTTCAAAAAGTCACTAAAAACTTTCTGAAAAAGTAAAAATATAAACATGATGAATAGATTACAAATGTATATAAAGGACAGGTAAACCTTGTTATCAATGATTATTTAAACAGGTTGCATCCGCAAGTATTCTCGATTAAACTAGTTGGATAATACTATCAATCATTCGCTTTATGGTGAGTTACACACGCATTTTGTTTAATACATTATATATTTTTCAATATGGAACAAAGTTTGTTTCCAAGCACCAAATAACACGCTGTAATTCAGTCTAAAACTATTAGTATGTATTTGTTTTTCATATAATATTGGAAATATATAGGCATATCTAATTTACAAATAATTATGGAAATGTAGTTTGTCAGTAATTGTAATTGACATGCATAGTTCCTGCGGGCATCACATGGTCCGTGGTCAGCAATTATGTTTTGATATGAAAGAGAAAGTCGAAAGATACCAACGGGACATTCAAATTCATAAGTCGAAAATAAACTGCCAAAGCCATGTCAACCAATACAATTACTTTCCGTTTATGTATGAGTGAGTGCTGATGACGTTAATGTCGTTTACTTCTTTTAAATAGTAACACAAATTTAATATTCCAATATCTTACTTATAAGAGAAGTAAAATGCGAATTATTCAATATAGATTATAAGGTTAAATTCTTACATGTACACATTACATGTTACACTAATCTGCAAAGATATCGGTCTTATAATGACTTAACATTTCACACGGAGACACTTTCACTTAAATTGTTTGATACATTTACATAGTCTGTAGTTCGAAATACTTAACTCTCAACAAAGCGGAAAATGTTAAAAGCTTTAAACTGATTTGATTTATGATTAAATTCAAATGACCTGAATACGTGGAATTAGGAACAGCTTCACTTGCCATAACGTAAACTCTATATACAGTGATGATAGTTTTCTTGATAGACATGATAGATGAGTTACTATTTTGTCAATGCTAGTTTATAAGGTTATACCAGCAAATACTGTCAAAAAGGAGAAATCAAAGTTAGCTTTATAATATTAATCATAATTCGTTTTATGTGTATTAAACACAAATTCTATAAAAAAATAATGCATATGTTTCAATATGTAAACAGTTCATGGTTGTTTGTAAGCACCCATCTATACACATTTATTCAGTCTAAAACTATTAGTATGTATAAGGGTTTGTTATATATGTAATAAGGAATTAGGAAATAACAGTAAAAAAACCCAATTCACCAATCACAATGGAAACGTTATTTCCGCAGCCATTTAAATTTATTGGGATAGTCTCTGGGTGTTTTACTAGTAATAGTCAAGTAGTTAGCAAATCTGTAATAACATAAAATGTTTTGATACATTTATTTTCTGTAAATCGACTGTGTCCAATTCCACTTCTTTATTATTTTATGCGACATTTCCATATTGAAGATTTTTTGTCAACCAATCACTCTTTGATAAACGAATAATCTTGTTTTAATTGAGGACAATTGATCAAAAGGGAAAAATAATTCAGAAAAAAGCTTGATTGTGTTTTTTTTTTTTTTTTTTTTTTTATTCTGAAGTTTTTATTTCATATACACTAATGTCTCCAGGTCGTTATACTGTTCTATTTCATAGTTACACATGATCTTTTATTCTAGCACACATATTTAAATTCTTCATTCACTACTACTATCTACATAAAAAAAACCTAAAAAAAACCAATTAGTAATTATCTACGACAATTTGATATCCGGATCTCATGAAAATGACCGTCGTATAACACATTAGGCTCTGTTTTTAAGTTAGATTTGTTCCGTCAACAGACACACCCAAAAAATCCTGCAAAACATGACACTACGATATCCGGATCTTATAAAAATGACCGGCGTTTACCACCTTAAGCTTTGTTTTAGAGTTAGGTTCGTTCCGTCAATAGACACACCAAAAAATCCTTCAATGATGAGCTATGAAAAAATTAAGAGTTGTACTTTGTATTAGGATTGTTCTGTATGTTTAATTTATTATATATTGTATTTAGCACCTTTGAAAAACTTAACAGACACAAAAGCAATGTACTCAAGTAAAGATGATATCAACAAGTCTTTCAAAATGTTTGCAAATCAATAGATAACAATAGTTTACCCTGTTTAATAGTTCCATTAAAATGATTTTTTTACTGTTACAATTTCATATAATTTACTAAGACATAATTATAACGACCAGCTTAAATCACTGAGAGTAACGGTTAATACAAATAAACACACAGACGAAACGCAATTTTCAATGGCGAGAGTTAATCTTTTGCAAAAGTTCTATAACAGGAAAGGTTTACTTCATCGCTGTGATATAAATAGTTGTGATCTCATTGAAATTTTCATAAATTTCTGCGCGACAGGATAACGACAAAATGTTTCAAAATAAACATGTGTCAGTATTGCAATTAATCAAAATCTAGACACAAGACAAATCTGAGTCTGGTTGTTTTAACATAGAGCTCTTTATCATGCAATGGATTTGTGTGTTTTCTGTTTGTCACGTTTAAAGTCTGATATAATCTTAATCACAACCCCTTCTTTACGATTAAATATATCCTGTTGTGTTGGCGAAATCTGTCATTTAATTGAGAATACATTGTGGAAAAACATTTTTAAAATCACAACATTTCAAAAAGTCCAAATAATAGTATTAAGTTTTATTTAAAAAAAACCAGTTACGCTAATCTAAAAATATATCGGTTTCATAGTACAATACCACCTTTACAAAACTTTTTTGACAAGTTTTGAAATATAAACGAACAATTGTATTACTTAAAAGTTAACGCCCGAGCGATTATTTGTACAGCTTTAACTAAGTTGATCTTAAAGTATCCATATGACATTAGTAATCGGAAGTTAGAGCAACTGCATTTTCAAAAAGTCACTAAAAACTTTCTGAAAAAGTAAAAATATAAACATGATGAATAGATTACAAATGTATATAAAGGACAGGTAAACCTTGTTATCAATGATTATTTAAACAGGTTGCATCCGCAAGTATTCTCGATTAAACTAGTTGGATAATACTATCAATCATTCGCTTTATGGTGAGTTACACACGCATTTTGTTTAATACATTATATATTTTTCAATATGGAACAAAGTTTGTTTCCAAGCACCAAATAACACGCTGTAATTCAGTCTAAAACTATTAGTATGTATTTGTTTTTCATATAATATTGGAAATATATAGGCATATCTAATTTACAAATAATTATGGAAATGTAGTTTGTCAGTAATTGTAATTGACATGCATAGTTCCTGCGGGCATCACATGGTCCGTGGTCAGCAATTATGTTTTGATATGAAAGAGAAAGTCGAAAGATACCAACGGGACATTCAAATTCATAAGTCGAAAATAAACTGCCAAAGCCATGTCAACCAATACAATTACTTTCCGTTTATGTATGAGTGAGTGCTGATGACGTTAATGTCGTTTACTTCTTTTAAATAGTAACACAAATTTAATATTCCAATATCTTACTTATAAGAGAAGTAAAATGCGAATTATTCAATATAGATTATAAGGTTAAATTCTTACATGTACACATTACATGTTACACTAATCTGCAAAGATATCGGTCTTATAATGACTTAACATTTCACACGGAGACACTTTCACTTAAATTGTTTGATACATTTACATAGTCTGTAGTTCGAAATACTAAACTCTCAACAAAGCGGAAAATGTTAAAAGCTTTAAACTGATTTGATTTATGATTAAATTCAAATGACCTGAATACGTGGAATTAGGAACAGCTTCACTTGCCATAACGTAAACTCTATATACAGTGATGATAGTTTTCTTGATAGACATGATAGATGAGTTACTATTTTGTCAATGCTAGTTTATAAGGTTATACCAGCAAATACTGTCAAAAAGGAGAAATCAAAGTTAGCTTTATAATATTAATCATAATTCGTTTTATGTGTATTAAACACACATTCTATAAAAAAATAATGCATATGTTTCAATATGTAAACAGTTCATGGTTGTTTGTAAGCACCCATCTAAACACATTTATTCAGTCTAAAACTATTAGTATGTATAAGGGTTTGTTATATATGTAATAAGGAATTAGGAAATAACAGTAAAAAAACCCAATTCACCAATCACAATGGAAACGTTATTTCCGCAGCCATTTAAATTTATTGGGATAGTCTCTGGGTGTTTTACTAGTAATAGTCAAGTAGTTAGCAAATCTGTAATAACATAAAATGTTTTGATACATTTATTTTCTGTAAATCGACTGTGTCCAATTCCACTTCTTTATTATTTTATGCGACATTTCCATATTGAAGATTTTTTGTCAACCAATTACTCTTTGATAAACGAATAATCTTGTTTTAATTGAGGACAATTGATCAAAAGGGAAAAATAATTCAGAAAAAAGCTTGATTGTTTTTTTTTTTTTTTTTTTTTTATTCTGAAGTTTTTATTTCATATACACTAATGTCTCCAGGTCGTTATACTGTTCTATTTCTTAGTTACACATGATCTTTTATTCTAGCACACATATTTAAATTCTTCATTCACTACTACTATCTACATAAAAAAAACCTAAAAAAAACCAATTAGTAATTATCTACGACAATTTGATATCCGGATCTCATGAAAATGACCGTCGTATAACACATTAGGCTCTGTTTTTAAGTTAGATTTGTTCCGTCAACAGACACACCCAAAAAATCATGCAAAACATGACACTACGATATCCGGATCTTATAAAAATGACCGGCGTTTACCACCTTAAGCTTTGTTTTAGAGTTAGGTTCGTTCCGTCAATAGACACACCAAAAAATCCTTCAATGATGAGCTATGAAAAAATTAAGAGTTGTACTTTGTATTAGGATTGTTCTGTATGTTTAATTTATTATATATTGTATTTAGCACCTTTGAAAAACTTAACAGACACAAAAGCAATGTACTCAAGTAAAGATGATATCAACAAGTCTTTCAAAATGTTTGCAAATCAATAGATAACAATAGTTTACCCTGTTTAATAGTTCCATTAAAATGATTTTTTTACTGTTACAATTTCATATAATTTACTAAGACATAATTATAACGACCAGCTTAAATCACTGAGAGTAACGGTTAATACAAATAAACACACAGACGAAACGCAATTTTCAATGGCGAGAGTTAATCTTTTGCAAAAGTTCTATAACAGGAAAGGTTTACTTCATCGCTGTGATATAAATAGTTGTGATCTCATTGAAATTTTCATAAATTTCTGCGCGACAGGATAACGACAAAATGTTTCAAAATAAACATGTGTCAGTATTGCAATTAATCAAAATCTAGACACAAGACAAATCTGAGTCCGGTTGTTTTAACATAGAGCTCTTTATCATGCAATGGATTTGTGTGTTTTCTGTTTGTCACGTTTAATGTCTGATATAATCTTAATCACAACCCCTTCTTTACGATTAAATATATCCTGTTGTGTTGGCGAAATCTGTCATTTAATTGAGAATACATTGTGGAAAAACATTTTTTAAAATCACAACATTTCAAAAAGTCCAAATAATAGTATTAAGTTTTATTTAAAAAAAACCAGTTACGCTAATCTAAAAATATATCGGTTTCATAGTACAATACCACCTTTACAAAACTTTTTTGACAAGTTTTGAAATATAAACGAACAATTGTATTACTTAAAAGTTAACGCCCGAGCGATTATTTGTACAGCTTTAACTAAGTTGATCTTAAAGTATCCATATGACATTAGTAATCGGAAGTTAGAGCAACTGCATTTTCAAAAAGTCACTAAAAACTTTCTGAAAAAGTAAAAATATAAACATGATGAATAAATTACAAATGTATATAAAGGACAGGTAAACCTTGTTATCAATGATTATTTAAACAGGTTGCATCCGCAAGTATTCTCGATTAAACTAGTTGGATAATACTATCAATCATTCGCTTTATGGTGAGTTACACACGCATTTTGTTTAATACATTATATATTTTTCAATATGGAACAAAGTTTGTTTCCAAGCACCAAATAACACGCTGTAATTCAGTCTAAAACTATTAGTATGTATTTGTTTTTCATATAATATTGGAAATATATAGGCATATCTAATTTACAAATAATTATGGAAATGTAGTTTGTCAGTAATTGTAATTGACATGCATAGTTCCTGCGGGCATCACATGGTCCGTGGTCAGCAATTATGTTTTGATATGAAAGAGAAAGTCGAAAGATACCAACGGGACATTCAAATTCATAAGTCGAAAATAAACTGCCAAAGCCATGTCAACCAATACAATTACTTTCCGTTTATGTATGAGTGAGTGCTGATGACGTTAATGTCGTTTACTTCTTTTAAATAGTAACACAAATTTAATATTCCAATATCTTACTTATAAGAGAAGTAAAATGCGAATTATTCAATATAGATTATAAGGTTAAATTCTTACATGTACACATTACATGTTACACTAATCTGCAAAGATATCGGTCTTATAATGACTTAACATTTCACACGGAGACACTTTCACTTAAATTGTTTGATACATTTACATAGTCTGTAGTTCGAAATACTTAACTCTCAACAAAGCGGAAAATGTTAAAAGCTTTAAACTGATTTGATTTATGATTAAATTCAAATGACCTGAATACGTGGAATTAGGAACAGCTTCACTTGCCATAACGTAAACTCTATATACAGTGATGATAGTTTTCTTGATAGACATGATAGATGAGTTACTATTTTGTCAATGCTAGTTTATAAGGTTATACCAGCAAATACTGTCAAAAAGGAGAAATCAAAGTTAGCTTTATAATATTAATCATAATTCGTTTTATGTGTATTAAACACACATTCTATAAAAAAATAATGCATATGTTTCAATATGTAAACAGTTCATGGTTGTTTGTAAGCACTCATCTAAACACATTTATTCAGTCTAAAACTATTAGTATGTATAAGGGTTTGTTATATATGTAATAAGGAATTAGGAAATAACAGTAAAAAAACCCAATTCACCAATCACAATGGAAACGTTATTTCCGCAGCCATTTAAATTTATTGGGATAGTCTCTGGGTGTTTTACTAGTAATAGTCAAGTAGTTAGCAAATCTGTAATAACATAAAATGTTTTGATACATTTATTTTCTGTAAATCGACTGTGTCCAATTCCACTTCTTTATTATTTTATGCGACATTTCCATATTGAAGATTTTTTGTCAACCAATTACTCTTTGATAAACGAATAATCTTGTTTTAATTGAGGACAATTGATCAAAAGGGAAAAATAATTCAGAAAAAAGCTTGATTGTGTTTTTTTTTTTTTTTTTTTTTTTATTCTGAAGTTTTTATTTCATATACACTAATGTCTCCAGGTCGTTATACTGTTCTATTTCTTAGTTACACATGATCTTTTATTCTAGCACACATATTTAAATTCTTCATTCACTACTACTATCTACATAAAAAAAACCTAAAAAAAACCAATTAGTAATTATCTACGACAATTTGATATCCGGATCTCATGAAAATGACCGTCGTATAACACATTAGGCTCTGTTTTTAAGTTAGATTTGTTCCGTCAACAGACACACCCAAAAAATCCTGCAAAACATGACACTACGATATCCGGATCTTATAAAAATGACCGGCGTTTACCACCTTAAGCTTTGTTTTAGAGTTAGGTTCGTTCCGTCAATAGACACACCAAAAAATCCTTCAATGATGAGCTATGAAAAAATTAAGAGTTGTACTTTGTATTAGGATTGTTCTGTATGTTTAATTTATTATATATTGTATTTAGCACCTTTGAAAAACTTAACAGACACAAAAGCAATGTACTCAAGTAAAGATGATATCAACAAGTCTTTCAAAATGTTTGCAAATCAATAGATAACAATAGTTTACCCTGTTTAATAGTTCCATTAAAATGATTTTTTTACTGTTACAATTTCATATAATTTACTAAGACATAATTATAACGACCAGCTTAAATCACTGAGAGTAACGGTTAATACAAATAAACACACAGACGAAACGCAATTTTCAATGGCGAGAGTTAATCTTTTGCAAAAGTTCTATAACAGGAAAGGTTTACTTCATCGCTGTGATATAAATAGTTGTGATCTCATTGAAATTTTCATAAATTTCTGCGCGACAGGATAACGACAAAATGTTTCAAAATAAACATGTGTCAGTATTGCAATTAATCAAAATCTAGACACAAGACAAATCTGAGTCTGGTTGTTTTAACATAGAGCTCTTTATCATGCAATGGATTTGTGTGTTTTCTGTTTGTCACGTTTAATGTCTGATATAATCTTAATCACAACCCCTTCTTTACGATTAAATATATCCTGTTGTGTTGGCGAAATCTGTCATTTAATTGAGAATACATTGTGGAAAAACATTTTTTAAAATCACAACATTTCAAAAAGTCCAAATAATAGTATTAAGTTTTATTTAAAAAAAACCAGTTACGCTAATCTAAAAATATATCGGTTTCATAGTACAATACCACCTTTACAAAACTTTTTTGACAAGTTTTGAAATATAAACGAACAATTGTATTACTTAAAAGTTAACGCCCGAGCGATTATTTGTACAGCTTTAACTAAGTTGATCTTAAAGTACCCATATGACATTAGTAATCGGAAGTTAGAGCAACTGCATTTTCCAAAAGTCACGAAGACTTTCTGAAAAAGTAAAAATATAAACATGATGAATAAATTACAAATGTATATAAAGGACAGGTAAACCTTGTTGTCAATGATTATTTAAACAGGTTGCATCCGCAAGTATTCTCGATTAAACTAGTTGGATAATACTATCAATCATTCGCTTTATGGTGAGTAACACACGCATTTTGTTTAATACATTATATATTTTTCAATAAGGAACAAAGTTTGTTTCCAAGCACCAAATAACACGCTGTAATTCAGTCTAAAACTATTAGTATGTATTTGTTTTTCATATAATATTGGAAATATATAGGCATATCTAATTTACAAATAATTATGGAAATGTAGTTTGTTAGTAATTGTAATTGACATGCATAGTTCCTGCGGGCATCAGATGGTCCGTAGTTAGCAATTATGTTTTGATATGAAAGAGAAAGTCGAAAGATACCAACGGGACATTCAAATTCATAAGTCGAAAATAAACTGCCAACGCCATGACTAAAAAAGAAAAAGACAAACAGACAAACAACAGTACACAAAACACAACATAAAAATCTAATGACTGAGCAACACAAACCCCACCAAAACATGGGGCTGATCGCAGGTGCTCCGGAAAAGTAGGCAGATCCTGCTCCACATGTGGCATTCGTCGTGTTGCTCCTGATAGTACAAACCCGGTAATAAGTATAGTTCAGTAGGTCACATTCGGGGGAAAGGGGACGGGATAGTAGTTACGACATTTTGAACATATAGCTATCATCTGTGAAACAGATATTCCATGACGGTCAACCAACTCGTGATGGCGTCCGTAAAATTTAAGAAGGAATGATTTAATGGTTTAATAGCTTCCTTATGAGCAGCAATCCTTTATCAAGGAAATCATGATAGGAAATACAAGCCCTGGAATATCGTATCAACTGGGAGATATATACTCCTTATGCAGGCGCTGTTGGAATATGGCTACATAGAAATGGAAATTTCACAATTGGGAAACTGACATCTTCTCTTTTGTTGTGATTTTTTTTTCAACCGACCCTCATTGTCAATCTCTAGATGTTAGTTAAGCTATGAGTACATTATATCATGATACATTTGTTTCTTTCAAATGATTTCGTATATAAATCTTTGAATTATTCGAGAGAGAAAAATCTTTGAATTATTCTAGATAAAAAAAACGAACTTTGTTGTTCTACCCCCAGGTCATACCCTATAGTCGGCTATAAATGGCCCGACATGAAAAATATGACCGATTAAATTGACAAAACCAACGGCCTAATTTGTAACAAAACAATTTACGAAAATCAAATATGGCAGACATGGAACAGCAACAACTACAGAACTACAGGATCCTGATTTGGGACAAACACATGCAGAATGTGGTGGGGTTAAACATGTTTGTGAGCGCTCAACCCTCCCCTTACCTAGGACAGTGGTATTACAGCACAATATAAGAACAAAGTATAAAAATGAATTGAAAGGGCTTAACTCATCAGATCGATACAAGGCAGAAAAAACAACTTACAGAAGAACAGACCGGACGTGGAAGGTATTTTATACAACCCCACATCAATAAGGACAATAAGTACAGATACAAGAGTACAGTACTTGCAACCTTAGGCGTTACTGTTTGACGTGAACTTGACTGATCGGTGAATGATCGGTGACGGATGTTTGACTGATCGATGACTGATCGGTGATCGATGACCCATAGAATCCGTCAGATACGTCAAATAGGCTATGTGAGAGTTACCGTGACAACGGTCAGCGATCGATCAGTAAATTAATTGTATGCACGGATCGGACGGATACGTATATATTAAAAATTCTTATGTAAAACGAACTCCACAGTATTTACAGTCGATTAACGCGGACCTCTACGAAGACACCTTTACTCGTTAATTATGTACCACTAAAAAGCGATAAAATGTTGTCATTTAAAATAAGTACTCTATTTGTTGTTGTTTGATGATGAAAATAAAAATAGTAGAACAGTAAAGATACATACAGCTTTGTTTGGATTAATTAATTTAGAGTGTTGTTTTAATTTTTGTTCTAGATTACCAATATTTCTTCTTCTTATAACATATAATGCAATGTTATTTCTGATTAGTCATTTAAAAGGCCCAGGAAAAGTTTCTTTGATAGAATTTTAAAAAATAAGTATTTAAATACTTAAAATTTAATTTGTGTTGATTAAAGATGCAATCATTTCATTATTTTGTACTTTTTGTACATCAGGATTGGTCGTTTTTCATAAAATATGCTGAATTTCAGGAAAAAGATACTAAATTTTTGTTCGAGTTGCTTAAAAATGCAAATATTTCTTCTTTTATATCAGAAATAATGCACGTCAATAGCAATCAGTCATAATTAATTCATTCAGATAATTAATTTTGTATAAGATATGAATAATTAAAGGATAAATATACATACACTTTTGTTTTTATTAAATAAGAATTCAATAATATCACTTTTTTAATGGAAATTATTGGAACGCCTATGGTTTTTTTGTATTTTTTATGGTTCAGGATTGGTTGTTTTTTATAAAATCAAAATAATATCTGAGAAAATATACTAAAATATTGTTAGCATTGTTTAAAATTACCAATTTTTCTTCTTTTGATAATAAATAATGCAATGGTATTTGTAACTACTTATTTCAAAGTTCTCCAATAAGATTTTTTTATAAGAATTTTGATAATGTAAGAAGAATTTTACTTAAACTTTTGTTTTGCGTTGAATACAAATTAAATAATTTCTTTATTTTGATAGAAATTATGAACCGTCATTTGATTTCGGTACATTTTGTACATCAGGATTGGTTGTTTTTCAAAAAATATGCTGAATTTCAGGGAAAATATATAAAATTTTTGTTCAGGTTGCTTAAAAGTGCAAATATTTCTTCTTTTATATCAGAAATAATGCAACTTCAATTGCAATCAGTCATAGTTAATGCATTCAGATAATTACTTTTGTATAAGATATGAATAATTTAAGGATAAATATACATACACTATTGTTTTTATTAAATGAGAATTCAATAATTTCTCTTTTTTAATGGAAATTATTGGAACGCCTATGGTTTTTTGTACTTTTTATGGTTCAGGATTAATTGTTTTTTTTATAAAATCAAAATAATATCTGAGAAAAGATACTAAAATGTTGTTCGCATTGTTTAAAATTACCAATTTTTCTTCTTTTGATAAAAAATAATGCAATGTTATTTGTAACTAGTTATTTCAAAGTTCTCCAATAAGATTTTTTTGTAAGAATTTTGATAATGTAAGGGGAACTTTACTTAAACTTTTGTTTTGTGTTGAATGCAAATTAAATAATTTCTTTATTTTGATAGAAATTATGAACCGTCATTTGATTTCGGGACATTTTGTACATCAGGATTGGTTGTTTTTCATAAAATTTGCTGAATTTCAGGGAAAAGATACTAAATTTTTGTTTGCGTTGCTTAAATATGCAAATATTTCTTCTTTTATATCAGAAATAATGCAACTTCAATTGCAATCAGTCATAGTTAATGCATTCAGATAATTACTTTTGTATAAGATATGAATAATTTAAGGATAAATATGCATAAACTTTTGTTTTTGTTAAATAAGAATTCAATTATTTCTCTATTTTAATGGAAATTATTGACCTCCTAGGGCTTTTTGTACTTTTTATGGTTTCAGGATTGGTTGTTTTTATAAAATCAAAATAATATCTGAGAAAATATACTTAAATGTTGTTTGCATTGATTAAGATTACCAATTTTTCTTTTCTTCTTTTGATAAAAAAATATGCAATGTTATTTGTAACTAGTTATTTCAAAGTCCTCCAATAAGTTTTTGTTTTTTTGTGAGAATTTTGATAATGTAAGGAGAATAATACTTAAACTTTTGTTTTGTGTTGAATACGAATGCAATAACTTCTTTATTTTGACAGAAATTATGAACCGTCATTTGATTTAGGTACTTTTTGTACATCATGATTGGTTGTTTTTCATAAAATATGCTGAATTTCAAGGAAAAGATACAAAATTTTTGTTTGCTTTGCTTAAAAATGCGAATATTTCTTCTTTTATATCAGAAAAAATGCAACGTCAATTGCAATCAGTCATTATAAATGCCTTTAGATAAGTAATTTTGTATAAAATGTGAATCATTGAGGAATATATGCATAAACTTTTGTTTTTGTTAGATAAGAATGCAATAATTTCTTTATTTTGATAGAAATTATGAACCGTCATTTGATTTTGGTTCTTTTTGTACATCAGGATTTGTTTGTTTTTTATAAAAATAGGCTGAATTTCAGGGAAAAGATACTAAATTTTTTTTCGCATTGCTTAAATATGCAAATATTTCATTTTTTATATCAGAAATAATTCAAGTCAATTGCAATCAGTCATAAGTAATGCATTCAGATAAGTACTTTTATATAAGATATGAATAATTGAAGGATAATTATGCATAAACTTTTGTTTTTGTTAGATAAGAAAGCAATAATTTCTTAATTTTGTTAGAAATTATGAACCATCATTTGATTTTGGTTCTTTTTGTACATCAGGATTGGTTGTTCTTCATAAAATATTCTGAATTTCAGGGAAAAGATACTAAATTTTTGTTCGTGTTGCTTGAAAATGTAAATATGTCTTCTTTTGTATCAGAAATAATTCAACGTCTATTGCAATCAGTCATAATTAATGCATTCAGATAAGTTCTTTTGTATAAGATATGAATAATTTACTGATGAATATACATGAACTTTTGTTTTTGTTTGATAAAAATTCAAAATTCCTCTATTTCAATTTAAATTATTGACTACCTATGGCTTTTTGTACTTTTTATGGTTTAGAATTGGTTGTTTTTTATAAAATCAAAATAATATCTGAGAAAATATACTAAAATGTTGTTCGCATTGATTAAAATTACCAATTTTTCTTCTTTTGATAAAAAATAATGCAATGTTATTTGTAACTTGTTATTTCAAAGTCCTCCAATAAGATTTTTTTTGTAAGAATTTTGATAATGTAAGGAGACTAATACTTAAACTTTTGTTTTGTGTTGAATACGAATGCAATTATGTCTTTAAATTGATAGAAATTATGAACCGTCATTTGATTTCGGTACATTTTGTACATCAGGATTGGTTGTTTTTCATAAAATATGCTAAA